CCTTTTATTGATTGAAGTGCTAAATGACACGTTAAATTATCATGAAATCAATTTTTATTTTAAATTTTTAATTACGTAAAAAATAATTTAATTACTATGACATTTTTACAAAAAAACCTTACTGACTTAGTGCCCTCAACAATTTAATATAAGTCTTCTTAAAGATTCCATCCTTCCCACCCTCCTCCCCGAACCACTTGCTCTAATAAAAAAAAAAAAAAATTGACATTTTTATTGTCCTCCTTGTATTCTCACTACTCTCACTACGGAACTTCTTCCTCCTCTTTGTCTGATCTCAAACCCAAAAACCTGCCAAGTCTGCAATTTGTTTCAGGCATAAATCTCAATCGAATCTCCTCAATTTGGTCTAGAAAGCTAGGCTGACATGGACCATTATACTGGGCAAAAGAACCCCAAAGAACCAATTTGTTTCTTCCTTGTTTAACCCCTTTTTGCCTTTCCTTTGGGTTCAGTCATGCCTTCTGTAATAATGGCGAAGGCTGGAATTTATGCTGCTGTGTTTTTGTTCTGTATTCTCCAGTGTAAATTCTGTTCCTTTGCGATGCTAGACCCACTTGATTTCTTGGCTCTGCAATCCATTCGGAAGTCTCTAGATGATTTGACGGGCTCTAATTTCTTTGCTTCCTGGGATTTCACTTTGGATCCTTGTAACTTCCCCGGAGTTTATTGTGATTCCGAGAGGGTGATTGCTTTTAATCTTGGGAATCCGAAAGCAGGTTCGCTGGGGTTGATAGGAAAGATTGATCCGGCGATTAGGAAACTCTCTGCCCTCGCTAAGTTATCAACTGTTCCGGGTCGGATCGTCGGGTCTCTGCCACAATCGACTTCATTTTCTTGCTATCAGCAAGAACTTCATCTCCGACGCGATTCCGGTCACTATAGGTGAGCTGAGGAATCTTAAAACACTTGATCTCAGCTACAATCAGTTCACCAGAGAAATCCTCGGTCGATCGGGACTTTGCCGGAGCTCTCCAACGTCATTCTCTGCCACAACCGTCTCTTCGGTTCGGTCCCTCCTTTCCTCTCCCAAACTTTAACCCGGCTTCTCCGGTTCGTTGGCCCGGACTCCTTCCCCGCTTCTTTCCAGCACCTGTCCCTCGCCTGGAGAATAAGGAAAGAGAAACTGGTAGAATGTTTCAGCTTTGTCGACGGACGAAACCCTAGAAAATATAAAAATATTTTAAAAGAACCCCACTTGTAACAAAAAATTGTTGCAGTGGGTAAGTTATTTTTCACTTAATTAAAGATTTAAACTTAACTTGTCATTGAACTTTCGTCAACGGAAAGGCTAAATTGTTCTCCAAAATCGAAATTTAGAGATAATTTTAATATTTTTTAAAGTTTGAAGGTAAATTTGATTTAAAGATGAAAGTTGAGGGATCAAACCGGGAATTTAACCGCATGTGAGGTTTTGTTAGTCACTAAGTCACAACTCATCAGGGATACTTGAGCGTGGGATAGACACCTTTCGGCCAAAGTAGCATAAAAAAACATGCCTTTCTCCATCAGATCAAATTCTTCAAATAATAGAGCACTTACTATTTATTGCTCTTATTAATTTCCACAATCTTCCCACAGTTAAAATACAATCATTCCTATAAGAGTTACTGATGAGGTTCAGAGAGAAAAACATCCGCTTGGGGTAACAAAAATATAATAACTCACCAGGAGGAGGAGAGCGCAATGAACTTCAGCATTTCCGGTATCGGTGCAAAGTTTCAAAAACGGTGAGCAGACTCCGACCAGTTCTTTGCATTAATAGGTAACATTTTCGAGGAGTCTTTGGATAACACAAGAGAATGAAGCGCCAAACCATTTAATCTCTTGCATCTGTTACAAAAATTTTTTAAATCAGATTCAAAATTTATTCTAAAACAGAAACAGAACAGAAATTTAAAATCGTATACAGTGAATCGGCGACGTACATCATCAAAATGGCGACGAATTCCGAAGAACAACTGGCGGAGGAGCTGAGCTTGAAGAGAATAGAAATGAGTAGATCATCCGGCAAAGAATCAAACAAATCGGACTCCTCCGCCGCCATCTCCGGCAAGAATGTCTGCCGTTACCTGTAAGGCGTGTGTTCGCCGAGAAATCCAGGAGCTTCACTGCTCTCTTTTCCGCCCACAAATTCTTTCACGACCCATATGCCCGTTAAGGCCTTTTTAATCAGCTCCTGTGCTCTTGAATTAGTAGCAAATCAGCCCCCATACTCTTGAATTGGTAGCAAATCAACCCCCTCAACTAAAAATGGTGGCTAATAAACGCTCAAACTTGAAAATCAGCCCTTTTGTGATGGCTGATATCAATATTTGGTTAAAATTAACGGAGCACGGATTTAGGTGTGATTTCCTACCTTACATGGATGCCGTGTAGTCTTTTGCCGTTTGACAATGACGGAAGATGATTTAGTATTAATTTTTTTATTAGCTTTGAATATAATTTTATTTGTTATTTAAATAATTAATTTTTTTATTTATTTTAAATATATGATATTAAGTGTATTTATTTATTTAATAATATATAAAAAATATATAAATATATTATATAAAAAATTATTTTTATATCACTATTTTTTGACATGACCTACCATATCATCATATCAGTTAATTAATATTATTAAATCTTAATTAAATGTAATTAAATAAGAGAAAATATGTTTTTTAATATGACTTGTACTTTTTTGTAATTCAAGTACTCAAATTACAAAACATTATAAATGAATAAACACAAAAGATATTTTCATTAGGGTATTTTGCTTATTTTAGCACCTACACAGCACAAAAAAGTACAATTTGTATTGAAAACACATTTTTAAGAGAAAATTATTTTGCAATCCAAACTACAAAATATAAACCATTAAATCTTTAAGTTTATACTCTTACATGACATTTACGATGAATTTAAATAAAAAAACGCTAATTATATAACTATACATTATAAGTTTATAATGCTATATACTATTATAACAATAGTATATATTTGAATTAGCTGTTTTGACGTCATTGATAGTTGATAGTCAATATTCAACAACCGATAATCATTATTAAGCATAATTCGGAATATATAATCTGTTCGATTGAAGCTAACAATGGATAATTGTTCCCCAAACTCAAAAACAAACACCTACATAAAATTTTCGTAAATCTTTTTAGTTGTTTGGTTCTCTCAATCAATTTCCTTTGGTAAATATCTTCAAATTTTGTTGATTGCTGTCATTGTTGTGGAGTTTTTTATATTGGATTTCTTGAAGGAGGAATGGAAGAAGGTAAAAAGCATTCTTTTTGGGGGGTAGTGTCTTCGTTTTTGATTGGGGATTGAAGGCAATCGTGTGTATTTGATTTTACCAAAGCATAAAACTCTTTACTCATTCAACATGGAAGGCCACGCTATTTCAGTTTCTTAATTTCTTTGCCTTGGCCAAGTCCACAAGGATCATGGTATTCTTCTTTCTGGGTGATGGTGAGACAGATGTCCAAAATCAAACCAGATATGAGTTAGATGATGAAAGCAAGGCTATAATGTGCCTCAGAGTTGTGAAATTGTGATGAAAGATGCAGCAAGTGAGGAGGAGATAGGAGATTTTGATGATATGCTTCCTTTTGACATTCTAGCTAGGTCGAATTGAAGGTGCCTAATGTTAAGTGACTATATGAGTTTTCGGGCTGCCATGAAATTGTGTAGATTGGTAGCTCCTTCAAGTCCAACTTTTGGGGTGCTCTGAAGGCTATAATTACTCTTCTCTCTTGATTAACCTATTGGTGAAAAGTGTAAGAATAGGTCCGAGGTTAAGGACCTCGGACGTACTGCTACATTTCTTTAATGACCGAAGTGAAGGTTAAATTCATCCCTTCTCGGTCAAATAGTTGCACGACAGGAACAGTGGGCATGTCCGCACCTGATTTCCTTTTCCCGAGATCATCACCTGAAGGGACACGTTAGACTCCGATTGAAATCAACCTAAAGCTCTTTTTTCCATTATTCTAAATGTAGATCCGATTATTGCTGACTTAAGCATCGAAGTGTCTACCCCGAGGATCCACCTCGGGGCTTTATAGGTTTATCTGAAGTGAAGACACGGATTGAAGAAGGACTTCTAGTTTGGTGCAATTACATTTTGGCGCCGTCTATGGGAATCGAACTAAAAGCTCTCTTGTAGCTCTTTCATCATGGTTAACACTCGGTTTGTTCGAGCTGGAAGCCAAACTCAGCCTTCTGCCCAAGGCCAAGCTCAGTGCCTCAATAACATTCCACCTCATATCCTGAATCTATTCCCTCCTATTGAACATGCAGAAGGAGGTGATGAAAATCAACCTCACAATTCAGCTCACAATGCAGCTCCCATCCCGAACCAAGGTGATGCAGTCTAGCTCAACTTGTTGCAATGCAACAACAATTTGGTGTTTTCCAATTGGTTTTAGCTCAACTCTTAGTTCGGAATAATCCTGGTGATCCCCTCATTAATCTACTTAACCCTACTCAACAACCTCCAGTTCAATAGCAAGAACCCCAACTAGTTCGCTCCACTGATCATCAACATGCTCCTACCCTCAGTGAGTCTCAGGGTCAGTCTCATATGGCCCTAGCTCAGCAACCTCTACCTGACGATGCCACACGACGTCTAGACAGTTTAGAAAAAATGGTAGCCGAGCAGCGATGTGCTCCACCTCCTCACCATAACACTACTTCAATACCTCATCCTCTGTACACCAACATAACTTTGGAACCTTATCCTACTGGTTTCAAAATACCTCAACTCGAAACATACGATGGAACAAAGGACCCAGATGACCATTTGCATGCTTTCTACTCCTGTATGCAAGCTCAAAATGCTTCTGATGCCTTGATGTGCAAGATCTTTCCTTTTACTCTCCGAGGCAATGCTCAAACTTGGTATTACAGTCTACCTCCGAGATCTATTAGTTCTTATACAGAGATGGCATCTGCTTTTGTTACAAAGTTTTCCAGTAGGAGATTGATTAGGAAAACCACTTTTGAGTTGATGCGAGTTATGCAAAGGGATGGAGAATCTCTGAAGAATTACATGAGCAAATTTAATGATGCAGTCCTGGAGGTTTGCTCATTCGATCAAGCTATGGGAATTGCAGCTGTAATTCAAGGTCTTAACCATGAAAGATTCAGAGATAGCATAATTAAGCATCCCATTGCCACTTTTAATGAGGTTAATGACAGATCTTTGAAATTCATAACTGTTGAGGAATATGCCTTGTCACAAAAGCTAGTTCTTGCTAAGAATTAAAACCTGGCTTGGAGAGATGAGGGCTAGAGCAAAAGCGGATGAAGATAATATAGAATTGAGGTCCAATGTCGACCTCCACATCGAGATTCAGAAGACCGAACTTGGTACCTCTCCAACAAACTACTAATAAAGCATTAGTTACATGGACTCCTTTTAAACTGTCGAGGTCGTAAATATTCATGCAGATCAAGAATAAGTGGATTTGAGGCAACCAGGGCTGATGAAAAGTTCTGCTGCTACACGTGACCATATTAGATACTGTGATTTTTATCAAGATCATGGCCATACAACGGAGGAATGTAATAGTCTGAGGTCCAAATTGGAAAGTCTAAGTCAGAAGGGAATGTTAAATGAATACATCCAGAGAACAAAGCAGTTGAGGTTTGTTAGAGAACAGGGGCCACAGCCACAGAGATCTCGTAATGTTGGAAATAGGCAAGGAGTAGGATATCAACAAGCCCCACCTCCACTTCCGCCATCAGCTAGAATTATTCATATGATTATAGGTGGATTGGAAGCGGGGGGTTTGAGCTCCAAGCAGAGGAAGTTATATGTCAGGGAGGTGAAGTATCAAAACAGAGTTCAGAAAAGAAAGTTTGATGATGTTGACTGGAAGAATCACTTTCATACCTGCTGACTTCAATACACTTGTAACACCTCGTAATGATCCTTTGGTCACTTCTGTTATGATTAATAACTGTAAGGTACAACGTGGCCTTATTAACATAGGGAGTGCACCAAATATTATGTATTATCACTGTTTTGAGAGTCTAGGACTAGATCTAGCTCTGTTGCAGAGGTACGATGATCCCATATATGGATTTAATAACCAACTTGTTCAGGTAGAAGGAGTCCTTACTCTCGATGTTGCTTTTGGGAGTGGCCAAACTTATGTTACCCCTTCAATTTGGTTTCTAGTCATCAAAATGGCCTCATCCTTCAATGCTGTTATTGGACGACCTACATCAACTGAGATCCGAGCTATGGTCTCTCAATCTCACCTCTGTATGAAGTTCCTAACCCCTATGGGGGTAGCAGCATTACGAGACAACCAGGAGATGGCTAGACATTGCTATATTACCTCGGTTACAAGGTGATGAGCTAATTCCACTCTAACAAGTGTACTAGTCCGTTCAAGTAATATAATGATGAAAATAGAGTATCGTCCCATAGAGACCGTAGATTAATTAAGTACCAAAATTAATGAATTCTAATTTTATTTGAACAATTGAAATTAAATGATTTGAATAAATTAAATCACTAAACTAGTTAAAGAAAAACTAAATTAACTTTGAGTAACACCAAGAATTAAAAGTCTAAGGCATCTGACTTCACCATCATCAACTAATATAGAATTTAGATCAATATACTTCCAAGGTATTTATTATTCATGTGACAACGAGATTTCCTATTTTATTCGATATACTTTCTCATGTTATACCAAACCTATCTTCATCTATTAACCCATTATATCTCTATGTGAATTTAAATAGATAAATATGCATTATGTTCTATGAAATTCCCTAGTTTACGTAGAAAATTAAGTCCACTTATCACTAATGCTACACAAATCACGTTGGTCCATCTCTGGCTCTCGTTCAATTCATGGTATATATTACTAAAAGCTATAGCATAAAATCTCCTCTTGGTCTCAATTATGCTCTTCAAATCAGTTTTAATGGTGGTCAATCATTAAAAGGCATTAAGAACAATAATATATACTCTACATGAAATAATAACCTTTGAAAGTATAAAAATCATGAAATTCTATATTAAATTGATTAGGCTACATCGTAGCCTTAGATTGCAAAATTAGTTCATATTAAACATGATAAAATCTGAAATTCAATTGATAAACCACAATTCCATATCCAAACAAAGGAAAAAATAAGTTTAGAAGAGCAAAAACCCAATTTGTGGAACTCAGATCTGAGCCTTCACTGTCGCGTTTGTCCCCTTTGTTTTCGATTGAAGTGTCCCTAGTGGCTGCCTTTGCTTCTGCCGTCACTCGCACAGAATCCGCACAAGCTCTACCTCAAACTCGCCTTCCAAGCTCTCTGCCGGTTGCCTCTAAAATCCCTCTCAAAAGTCTCCCTTTTTCCGCCTCCAAAAATCCCCTTTTTATATCAAACCCCCTGCGAAAACTGCGTGCCCTTCTTTTTTAAAGCCCATCTTATCTCCACAATGAGATAAAGCCCACAATGTTGTGTCACGTGTATGCAGGAAGAAAATTCAATTTTGGTCTTTGAATGGGGAAATCATGGAATCAGACTTGATGTTTTCAACTTTTGTCACTTCAGCCCATTCACTCTCAATTTCTTTAGTTTTACCCTCTACCTACAAAGAATGATAAAAGTAATGTAAAACCAAATAAAATCGTTCCAATAAAATATAAAAGACTACAATTAATGACTAAAAAGCCATGTATAATTGTATGAAATTTAGGCTCATCACAAGGCCTCAAAAAGGAAAAGATCAGACATCAGAAACCATTTCAAAGGAAGTTCATGATAACCAACAGGTCAAGCGGGTTGAGGTACTTGATAACAGACCTAAAGATGAAACCCGAGTGGGTCTAGTTGAAGATGTCAAAGAAGTACAAATTGATGACAAAGATCCGAACAGAAAGACACAAATCAAAACTCAGTTGAACCCAGAGGAAAGAGCAGAACTAATAGCTTTCCTTTGAGCTAATAAAGACATTTTTGCTTGGATCTCAGCAGATATGCCAGGGATTTCAACCTCAATATCTCAGCACAAGCTCAGCACCGATCCATTGAAGAAACCAGTGGCCCAAAAGCGACGCTTCTTTGGGGGGAAGAGGCTTAAGGTCATAAAGGAGGAGGTGAAGAAACTCCTGCAAACTTGTTTCATTAGAAGGGTTAATTATTGTGAGTGGGTAACCAATCCAGTGTTAGTCAAGAAAGCAAATGGTAAGTGGCAAATGTGCATCGATTACACAAATCTCAACTAGGCTTATCCCAAAGACTATTATCTGATGCCGAACATTGACAAACTAGTTGAGGCAGCTTCTAGAAACGAGACATTAAGTCTTTTAGATGCATATTCTGGTTATCACCAAGTCCCAATGACTCTTGAGGATGAAGAGAAGACCTCGTTCTATGCAGGTGATGAAATCTATTGTTACGTCATGATACCCTTTGGCTTGAAGAATACAGGTGCCACTTACCAAAATATGGTGACCATCGTATTCCGAGCTCAGATAGGCAGGAATCTGGAAGTTTACATCAATGACATCGTGGTGAAGAGCCTAAAAGCCGAAGATCATTTAGCTGATCTCGATGAGACATTCAACAACCTGAGAAAGAACAAAATGCGATTGAACCCAACGAAGTGCATCTTTGGTGTGGAATCTGAAAATTTTCTAGGTTTCATGGTATCTAGGAGAGGGATTGAGGTTAACCTAGAAAAGATCAAAGCAATAGCCGAGATGAAACCACCGAGGTCAGTAAAGGATGTACAGAGATTAACAGGGAGAGTGGCAGCTCTTCAGAGGTTCATATCGAAGTAAGCAAATAAATGTTTGCCATTCTTCAAGATCATGAGATCAACAGCTTAGAAAGATGAATCTGGCAAGCAGAAGAAGTTTGAATGGAACTCAGAATGCTAAGTTGCATTTGATGAGCTGAAGTTTTATCTTAACTCACCCCTTTTGCTGACAAAGGCTGTTGATGGAGAGATCCTTTATTTGTACCTCGACATCTCAAACGAAACAATCAGTTCTGTACTAGTACAGGATGAAGGGAAGCAGCAAAAACTAGTTTATTATACCAGTAGTGTATTACATGGAGCAGAGATAAGGTATTCCATTGCTGAGAAAGCAGCATTAGTAGTTGTCACCTCAGCCAGGAAGCTGAGACCATATATCCAGTCACACCTAATTATAGTTCTCAAAGACTAACCTCTTCAGCAGATTTTACAAAAGTCAGAATGCTCAGGAAGATTGATCAAATGGGCAGTCAAATTAGGGGAATTCAAGATAACGTTTCAACAGAGGTCCACAATCCGAACTCAAGCACTAGCAGATTTTATTATAGAATGCACCTCAAATCACTCAAATTATAACCTCGAGCCGGATAGTTGGATTCTATATATTGATGGAGCATCAAGTAACAAAGGCTCTGGAGCTGGCGTAATCCTACTTGGCCCAGATGGATACCAAAGTGAGCATGCTTTGAAATTCAATTTCGATACAACTAATAACATGGCTAAATACGAAGCTTTGCTACTTGGCTTGCAACCGGCATTACAACTAAAAGTCACGGTAATATAGATATACAGTGACTCACAACTTGTGCTTAATCAAGTTAACTCAGTCTACGAGGTGGTTGATCCTGTCATGATGAAGTATGTAGTCCTGGTGACTGAGCTGAGGTGCAAATTTCAGAAATTTTGTTTGAGCAAAATACCCCGTGCTGAAAATAAGCAGGCAGATTCACTTTTTAAGTTCGCTTCTGATAGTTTTCGAAGCTCCAAATCAGTTTTTGTTGAAATTCTAGATGAGCCTAGCTTTCAAAAGCCAAAGATGATGGAGATTAGCACAGATCCAAACACGCCGAGCTAGACAAACCCAATTGTCTCTTTCTCACAAGATGGATCAGTGCCTGGAGATAAGCAAGAAGAGATGAGGTTGAGGAAGAAAGCGTCTCGGTACACACTTGTTGATGGAGTCCTCTATAAGAGATCTTTCTCACTTCCTCTTCTACGATGCTTGAACCCTTATAAAGCTAAATACATACTTTGGGAAGTACATGAAGGCGTATGTGGAAGTCATGCTGGCACTAGAACCCTAGCTCATAAAGTCCTTAGACAAGGATATTACTGGCCGAATATGTATAAAGATGCTACTCACTTTGTACAGAGGTGCCCGAAGTGCCAATTCTTTGCACATTTAACTCACCAACCAGCAGAAGAACTCATCAACTTGGTAGCACCGTGGCCATTTGCTTAGTGGGACTTGATCTTTTAGGCCCATTTATGAAAGGGGTTGGAAGTGTAACCCATCTGGTCATTGGTGTTGATTATTTTACGAAATGTGTTAAAGTTTGGCCATTATCCAGCCTTACCTTCAAAAGGTTGAAAACTTTGTTTTCAGCTCAATCATCTGTAGATATAGGATTCCGAATCAGATTGTGGTTGATAATGGCACTCAATTTAATTGCTCTTCATTGAGAGATTTCTGCTTCAGTTATGGGATCAAATTACAATTTACCTCAGTATACCATCCAAGGTCCAATGGTATGGTGGAATCTATCAACAAAGCTATCCTAGAAGGAATAAAGCCGAGATTGAAGCAACACAAGGCCAAGTGGGCAGATGAGCTCAACAACGTCCTTTGGGCATATAGAACTACGAGCCGAACTGCCACAGGTACTACTTCTAACTTGAGTTACTTTCATACTACTTTATTTCTTCTTCTACAACTTTACCCTAGATCAAATATGCATAACATATAAAGCATATTCTAAAAACTATAACTTAATGAAAAAGGTGAACACCCTACCACCTGGCCTTTGGTACCGAAGCAATAATTTCTATTAAAATAGGAGTCCCAAGCTTCAGGGTCACCCATTTTAATGAAGGACGAAATGGACAACTGCTTCAAGAGAACCTTGACCTGCTTGATGAAGTCAGAGAGGAAGCACGACTTCGAACTTTGGTGTACAAGTAGAAATTAGCCAACTTCTACAACAAATGAGTTCACCCTCGAACATTCAAAGTTGGTGATCCAGTTTTGAGAAAATGCCGACCTTACTGGGGTTTGAAACTCGTTTTGGCAAACTAGCACCGAACTAGGAAAGCCCTTACACTGTAGCTGAAGTGCCACACTCAGGTGCTTATATCCTTTAAGACACTGAAGGGAGAAGGATTCCTAAGGTTTGGAATGTCAACAACTTGAAGAAATTTTACCCTTAATCCACTTCTTTCAATAAACTTTGTCTTATTTTACATGGTATTCATTAATTCCTCAGTCTGAGATCAATTTCATTCCTTAGAATGTATATCCGAGGTCAATTCGTTAATCATTTCATTCCTTGAACTTTAATTTTATTAATGAATTTCACTTCACATTCAAAGTGATTTCTTCCATTTTTGTTCTTACATAATGGCAACATAACATAAATCTTGAAACAAATCCTCAATATATTCAATCGTTAAATCAAATCTTACAAAAATGTTCAAAATAAAATCAACAAATTGTTCCAATTTTAACAGAAAATACAAATCAAAAAATGGAAACCCTAGCTACTCTGTTGGGGGAGGTGGCTGTTGCTCTACACAAAGAGGTGGCTGCTCCACTTCTGGAAGGGCTGGCTACTCTTCTTCTAAGGGAACTGGATGGATTTCCACTGGAGGAGGTGGCTGGCTCTTTTCGACCTCTGTGCCCACAGCCTCTGCTTTGCCTTCCTTAACTGTGATGAACTCGAAGTCAAAGTTGGGAGAAAAAACAGTGTGACCTTCTTCATCATGATCCCATCTTAGCTAAATCTGAGGTCAAAAGCCAGTCGACATACTTTCACCGTCTTCCTTCACTCTTTCCTCTTGTTTGCCAAAGGTGATTTTCATCACATCCACTTCAGGATATTGAGATTTCAGCTTTTTTTCTGCAATCGGTGAAGGCAAGGATCGTAGTAGGCAGCTGGTATAGGTTGACAATATTGTCAAATGTGCTAGAGTTGAGAAACTTAGCAATGTGCCCTTCCATCGCATTGTGGACCAGCAACTTCACGTTCTTTTTCAGCTCGACAGCAAACTCTTTCATTTCCTTTATTTCTTTCTCTTGCGCCTCAATTTTTGTCTTGCAAAATTTTCTCTTTCATTCTTCAAATGAAAGAGTTGTCTTCAGCGAATCCCTCTTGTTCTGAAGACTAATCACTGTTGGAACCTCCTCATCCAGCTGTTTTTGCATCTCCCCCTTCTCTTTCTGCAGTTTATCATACTGCTTCT